CTAAAGCTATGTCATTAAACTGAGCGCATAAATGTTAGGTTAGCAGGATATAACCTTGCATATATGTTAGGTTATATCCTGCTAACCTAACAAAAATTCAGAAACATGCTCAACTTACGTTCTACACTAGAAAGCATCTGAGCAATTCTAAGGTTTATTTTAAGTATTAGACTCTAGAATCAGACATTAGAATTATTATCTACATTTATTTAAATGGTATAAAAACTTGTATTTTAATCACTAAATGTTCTACATGTATTTCCAAGGTTGCAACTAACCAAACTGTTTTATAATCTGTATAAACCTCTGGTCCCACCAACATACATGCACTGGGAGGTGCAGCTCGCTCGCCTTGAACAACATGGCCGCTGCAGTGGCCAATGTGACCTCTACATGTGTGCACTTATCGCCTTTTAAGGGCTTTTTACAACTGATAGATAGTGAGTGTGGTTAGTTTACTCACTAAATCCTTATAAAGTCTTCAGCAACTCATGCATTAAATGAGTCACCACTGGATGGTCAGTGTCTGTACACAAGAAGAAAACAGGACCCCTTAACTGCTCTTAATCACACAGACTTTTGAATCAAACTCAGAGTTGTTGATTTTAATGACTTTTTTTTTTTGGTTTTTCTGTGTCAGCTCGTCCTTTAAAAACAGTTTTATGTCTTGCATGTTTTTGTTTCTGTTGTATGTTGCATATGTTGCACCACACCAGCTACTTCCTCCTGCTGTTTCCACTGAACTGATGTGTGAAGCTACAGTGAGATTTCTCAACACGACTGGTTCAAACGTGCGCATACTGTGAGAAAAAAGAGCTGCTGAAACCTGCTGACAGCTTCTAGGAAATCTTTTCATAATGCTGCTCCACGGTGAGAACAGAAGACATCAGTCACGGACAAATGACTGTCCCAGCAGAAACAAATGACACATTATCAAATAGTATAATTTACAAGACATTATCAGTAACAATCAACCCTCTAAAATAAAAAAAGAAAGAAAATAATGCTCTTACTGCACATATGTATGCTTCCCAAGTGTGTGGTGACTAATCCAAGATTTAGATCACTTCCACTTTGCCACTCTGTCAAGCTCATTGCAACATCACAGGTGTTGGTGACTTCTTTCCCTCCTGTTTCCACTTCTACTCCTGTACCAGGGCTCATGCTTAGGTGACAACACTTATTGTACTGAAGATGACTTTAGATTTTGAGGATTGCAGCTGAAGAGGTGTTCGGTAGGTGCAGTGTTAGGAAGAGGAATGTGGAAGGACATTTTTGGATTTTGCCAGAAGAAGAGGAGGGAACATAGGGTGACTACCTGAAAGAGACAGGAGACTGTAAAGTGGTGTCAGGGGAGCTTGTAGCTTGTCAGGAAGAGCAATAAGAGCCCTGCTCAGAACTTTTCATTTAAATACCACTCCAATGTAATTTCTGACCATTACCACCTGCTCCCGCAATATGTCTATCCAATCCCGCCAAACCCACAGACTCATTGATATTCATAGTTTTCATGTAATGTCAGAGATACTGAGACGTGCCCACCTGGAGGGCAAAACAATATTGTGGTCCTTTTCAGTCCATCTGTTGCCTGTTAAACAAAACAAGAAAACCCAAAATGACAAGATACTAACATATGCCAGTTTATAGCATTATCCATAATGCTAAAACATCTGCATATTTTTTTCTCAAGTATATGATGACATCAAATTTAAAGTTAACAAGAATGAATGTTCACAAGATTTTTCTTTCGTTCTCTTGGAACGTTGGGGGAGCTGTAGCTCGAGTTGGTCTTTAATATTGAACCCTGATTCACATCAGCCTCGTTGCATCCCTCGGCCAGCATCATCAATTGACCGATCTGTAAGCTGAGGAAATATTTGAGTTGTTCACAAATTCTTGGGATTCATGACACTGGTTTCACATGCCATTTGAATTGGCTGCAGGTGCTGTCTCATGTTAGCTGTAGTGATGAAGTGATGAAGGACATTAGTAAAAAATCCATCAGTGAGTCAGCGCTAAAATAAGAAGTGTAGCAATAGCTGATCAGAAAATGACTCATCTGTAGTGGAAATATGTTCTGACAGTTTAACAGTGAAGACAAAGAGGAAACATGTCAGTGTAGAGTGTGATGTCACTGTATATTTCCTGATCTACAGTCATACCATCACTCTGAGAACAGCCAAAGCAACTTTACTTCCTTACAGAAAGCTACAGAACCAGAGGTGAGTCCTGATACTTTCTCATTCTCACATCTTTAATACTTTTTTAGGAAAAAAAGAGATGTTTTTAACCCATCCTCACTGAAGGAACAAAAATAATCAGCTGTCTTCTGCCAGTGTTCAGGAAACTAATATGAATATATGATTACAAGTCTTATTTTGACTAAGGCTAAGGATGTCCTGGTGCCGAGTGCACTGATGAACTACCTTAGACTTAAATATGTTGATAATGTTTGAAGACAGTCATTATGATCCATGGCACTAATTTTATTGGTTTCATCCGTCAAGAGAACAAAAAACCTAAATGGTCCATATGTACTGGCTCAAGCTACAAGTGATAAGCAAACCAGAAAAAAATCAGTCAGGAGGGAATTACAGAGAGAACAGGTCTGTGACCACCTGCTAAACTATTCCTATTCCTGATGTTGCCTCTGATTAATTCTTCCTACTTGGAGGGAATGATATCCCTGAAGTTTAACTGACTTTGTGTTGCACTGTGATACACAGTACTGATGATCCACGTACATACAGCACTGTGTTTTTAAATCATCATTTAAAATTTATCGTCATTTATTTACTTCTGAAATGTACAAATGCCCTTGCAGAATACAAGTTACCTTGCATTTTTAGATTTATGTTTCAATAAAATATTGCTGTTGAATTTTGCTGTCTTATTCAGTTTTGCATTATGTTATTGTTTTGACCATAAGTTTAACAGTTTTGAAAACAGTATGTAAGTACATGCAAAATGTCCTGTATGTACAAAGATTTTTGGCAGTTGTTGTGTCTGAGTGAGAAAATAATTCATGAAATTTGAGAGATGTAGTCATTGAATGCATTTTGTGCCAAAACAATGATAACTGATCCTCAGTTTAGCCCACATAGACTTCTGTTGTGCTCACTGTGTGAGGAGTTTTGCAAAAGTGACTTAAGTATTGAGAAATGTGTCCTAGCGTCTGTAAAAAAAACTGTAATAACAGATATGATTCAATGCAGAGAGGTCTATTAACACATAGTGAGTGAGAAAGGTGACTGTGTTTTAAGAGCTTCCTTTACATGTGTGTGTTCCTTCTTTTTCTCTTCAGGGTGTGTGTGTGTGCGTGTGTGTGTGTGCATGTGTGTGTGCGTGTGTGTGTGTGCATGTGTGTGTATGCGTGTGTGTGTGTGCGAATGTGTGTGTGTATGCATGTGTGTGTGTGCGTGTGTGTGTGTGCATGTATGTGTGTGTGTGCATGTGTGTGTGGTTTCCAAACTTTTTTTGCTTTTTGCTTTTTTTTTTACTCTGGTTTTATGTGGCCTCCTATATACCAATTTAAATTGTTCATGTGATTGGTTTACCACAACTACTTTATTCTTCATCTGCCAATAAGCAGCACTCGTGCAATTGTTGCCATATTTCTAGAAATGAGAGCTGCTCCATCCAAAGTGGGATGGATGCCATCTCTCCTAACAAGACCA